CCCCAAAACCCCAAAACCCCAAAACCCCACTCCTTTGTAGACACATTGAAAATAAAATTAACATTTATATAATAATAAAATGGAAAGCAATAACAAATTTACTGAAGAAGAAAACGCCTGAATAATCAGGTAACTGGGAGCTTAATTTTAGGGTATTCTAAATTTTTATCCTCTAGTTTGCCACAGGCTTCAAATTTTTGTTATTGAAACTAAAGCTCGGCAACTTTTAAAATAAATTAATCGAAAATATCTTTAACAAGAAGCTACAGCTTCAACTGAAGATAGTTTTACAGCCTTATCTCTCTAAACCTTAATTTTTATCTCGATAAATTGGGTTTTCTTCTAAAGACTTAAACTTCAGACTTCTAAAACTACAATTAACACTCTTTCACGAATCCAACTGCAACTTTCTGACGAATTCTGACATGGATCCCTCTCCTCGTCCACCTCTAATTGTGCAGTCTAGAGAAGTCTGTTCTGGAAGAAACCAAGGAACAAGATATCACCAGAAGCCAGAGCATCCTCCATAAGATTTTTCCAAAGAAAAAAGAAATTGAGCCATTGGATTCAGACTCTGGAGAAGTTTCAAAAAGAAATAGTAGACTTTATATAGATTTCAGGGATCTTAGAAATGCTAAACTCGCTCAAAGTTTCAAGCACCTCAAGTTCTTTGACACAAACTTTGTTGATTTTGGCTGTGTTGATTCTAAAAATAAACATTTTTGAGATTTCTTAGAATCCTCATTCCCAGATAAAACTAATCATCTTTGCCTTTACTCCTGGAATAAAATGGATCTGAAGAGGTCCAATTACTTAAACTCCCTGCTCAGGGTCAGTTCGAAAGTCCTCCAAAGAGTTACATTTGATTCTTTCTGCATCGGCCTCCCCTCCCTGAAGAAGCTGGTGACAGCTTACAAACATGCCAGAGTGTTGAGATTGTGGGATTGCAGGTTAGCAATCCCAAGTGTTCCTGATTTTTCAAAGGCTCTTACAAACTGCCAGATCCAGAAACTAGGTTTAGATGGATCCGGATGCTCTGATCTTAGTGACTGGGAGAACAACTTCCACGAGTTCAAGAACTTGGTCCAAGGATTAGCAAGTTCTCCAGATTTAAGATTGAGTCTTAAAGAGGTAGTAATCTGTAACTGTGGAGTAAATCAAATTGAAGCCAAAAACATTTTGGAAGAAAACCAACTTGGAGGAGTTAAAATAATTACTGAGGATTAAATTTTGGTTAAATTTTCTCTATTTACTGAGTTCGTTAAAATTAGTCATTTCTCCATATTTGACACTTGGCCAGTTTTAATATATCTTGGAGTATCGACTAAGCTTGCATCGATGATTGGACACCCTATTTAAATGAAAATATTTTAAATGCAGTTTTGACAAGGAAGTGGACCTGCTTGTAAATAAAAAGTTAACCGGTGCTTAGAAGTATTAGTTTATTGTATTTCTTGTTTAGTGAGTTTGAAGATAAATTATTATGTCTTTGAGTCTTTCTGTATGTTAATGGCCTTTTATACTTTACTAAATATTAAAAATAATAGAACTGGATAACCTTAAAACGAATAACTCTCTAATTTGTATACAAGAGCTGCACAAGTTTATTAGTAGTTGGCACTTTTAATGTCAAATTATTGCAATGATTGCTCATAATTTATCATTTTTTCTTGTAAGTTCTGAGATTTACAAAGCCATATGCCTTGTTAGTCTTGGGAAGCCTTTTCTTATGCGAGAATACTGAAAGAAATTTGAATTATTTTCATGAGACCAGGCTGTCAAATATCATAAAATGGGGTTTGTTCTCCTTAAAATTATTGTATTATGATGCTAACATTGATTTTAAATTATTTACCCTTCGTGATTGATACTTGAATTTTATTGAACATTGAAGATGCAGTAAACTCAAAATAAAATGACCATTTTAGACTAATTTACTTCTTAGCAGATTTATTCAGAATCACCGAATTCTACATCCTAAATATTAAATTATTGAACGAGTAATGCAACTATAATATTTAGTCACCTCGTATTGATATAGAAGAGCTATATAAAAGGTCCTCTCATTTCTAAGTCTTTGCATAATATTGGATAGTTAAATACCATTTAAAACTAGATATTTAAAGTTGACAATTTTAAATTTTATATTATTTCGTGGAATCAGCAAACTTTAATCTGATCGCCTCCAATATACATTACAGAAATAAACTTAACCATTTGCTTCAATATTTATTTGAATTATTCTTCTTCGAAGTTTCTCTTCATTATTAATATGAATTTGCTAGTTTCAAAGTTGTTAGCAAGAAGGTGGTAACCATATAATAATTTCTGAATTACAAAATTAAAAATATTTTATTTAAAACACAAATAACCAGATCTTGAAGAAGATTTATTGCTTAAATCCAAAGAGTCTTAAACCTACTAAAGTATTAAGAATAAACAATCCACCCTGCCAACACTACAACCACATTACCATGCCTATCTTCCCAAAATCCTCACCCTTCCTAACACCTCTCCACCCCCCTAAATTCCATCCCTATGCCCTCCCTTCCGGCCTCTGCTGCCTCCAAGTAAAGTCCTCGCAGGAGCCCGCTCGACGAGAGAACAGACTTTGAGTGGGGACTTGGTTAGAGAGTAGGCTGGCAAGTTGATATTGGGGATTGGAAAGGAGGGGTGCAGGGTGGGAAATTTTGGAGCTGGAGGGGGAGAATTTAATTAGGAGTTTAGGTAGTGTTATGGAAGAGTGGGGATTTGGTACATTGAAGGGTGAAGTTAGATTTTAGGCTTAGTGTGTTCTATAATGTTTTATAAACCTCAAATTTGCAACAATGACTTATATTGATGCTGAAACAGTTTATTTTGTCTTTTCAAAGTAACCGCATAACATTTATTTTACATATTTATCTCAAATGTTATTGAAACGGGGTTTTGGGGTTTTGGGGTTTTGGGGTTTTGGGG